ATACCAGTGAGCATATCTTGCTAGGAAGGTTATGATAATTCATGTGGTCCATGACAGAGTAGAGCTACCAATGGTTTTTCTTCCCTAGAAGCTTGCATTGCATCTCCTAACACTGTGATAAATAGCCAGTAGGGAGGAAGCTTTCAGCTCATTCATCTTATTTCTCCATTCATATCATTTCTCAATATCCTGCAAGGGCAGTGTGTGCTTTCTTCACTAATAGAATGTTCTGATCTTGTTTTGGTGGAATCAAGAGCACTGACAATATACCCTATAGTTTTTGGGGCCCTTTGGAGCCTTCATGATCCATGACCTATAGGGAGGGATCCCACGTCTTAGTCCAAACCTTTAACTTCTTGAAGAAGCATCACAAACTCATGCATAGTTCCTTCATTCAAAACTAATTTTATTTATATTTTTAACTTATTAATAAAAGAGAAGATTTCTTTCTGAATTTTTATTATAATTATGTGTGTGTGTGTGTGTGTGTGTGTGTGTGTGTGTGTGTGTAGATTCGTGTGTGTGCTATGGTGTGTATGGAGATCAGAAGATAACTTCTAACAGTTAGTTACCTCCTTTCACCATGTGGATCCTAGATATTAGACTTGAGCAATTAAACTTGGCTTCAAGTAACTTAACCTGCTTAGCAATCTCGTTAGCCTACAAAATATTAATTTTCTTTTGTGCTTTTTCAGACTTGTTTAGTTCAGTCAAGCCTCTCTCAATGTCCCCTATATCCCCAATTCCATATTTTCTCAGATTTTTATCATACATTAAAATTTACCTAACACTTAAATATTGATGTATTTTATTCATAATATATAGAGAGATATAGATAGATACATAGATACATAGAAACAGATAGACAGACAGACAGATAGATAGATAGATAGATAGATAGATAGATAGATAGATAGATAGACAGATAGATAAATAAAGAGTTGATAGATGATAGGTAGACAGGTAGAGAGATGATAGAAATAGATTGGTAAATGATAGATAGATAGATAGATAGCTGTGTATTTTCCATTAGTACAATGACCCACACTGTGTCCCTTTATTTTTTAATATCTCTAATTGATTGCAATTGATAGGCATCTTCAGTTTTTATCTACCCCACAATTTCATATATGGTTCACTGTGCTATTCTCTTCTGATTTCCTGGTCCCAAGAATTCCTTGAATAAAATACTGTGACATTGGGATGAAAACAAAACACAAAGTAAGAAATGCTTCTCTCTTTCAGAAGAGGCCCTTTTTGTGAAAGGCAACATTGGAATACAGACACCTTAACATAGAGATAAACCAAATCTGCATTTGTTAAGTTCATAGAGTAAAGTAAGATACATTCCTTTTCCTGAGCGTGTACTACTTAGGCTTCTGCCAACAGATATAAGCCACTGCTCACTCAGCAAAAGCCAATGGCATTCTAAACAATGACATTACAGACAGCATATTAAATGTTTAAAGTGTTTCTAATTTATTTTCTAATAGTTTTCATGCTAATTACTGTTTATATTATGGAAGTGCCACTGTGTTCTACCGATTTTTATGGTAAATGTAGATAACTGGTACAGCAAGTTAATGGAGATGTGTGTGGTTGCTTCTGAACCTGCAGGCCACTCACAGACCGAAGGATTCACCCGTTCTTTGCCCAGTTTGCTTCATCTTTGTAAATGCAATTTCAAGTCTCATAGTGACTCAGCTGAAATTCTTGGGGCTGTGTTTATGCCCTGTTTTTTCCTCAGATCCTATGCACAACAACCATATGTACCTTTGATCCAAACATAATAAAATCAGTCATCCTTTGAACTTCCAGCTTACTCCAAAATGTCATTGTCATTAACATGTACTATCAGTGACGCAGTTCATCTTATCATGTTGCTCTACTAATAGTTATCAATAGCAGCTATGTTGTGTCATTTTCCTCCTTGTATTTTTCTTGATTATTACATACATAACATTATCAAAAGTACTTCCCACATGCTGTAGGTCTTTGAACACCTCCTGCACTCCAGTCACCAAGACACCTTCCATTTATTCATCTCAGTTCCAACTTGAAGTCTTATTTTAGGACCTATACTCATGGTTGTACCAAGGACCTGTTTGCCTCCACTCATTTAGTTGTCTACCTGAAAGACTTATCTTTTGAGAATCTCCCTGTGAATTCCTAGATCAACAATATAGCAACCATATTGTTTTCCCAACTATTTATGTGCTTTAGTATAGTACAACTCAAACTAGTGTATCCCATTATGTGCATATTTTCTTCAAAAAAAATTTTTATTTGTATTTCTTATGTTCATTTCTCTAATAAGACCCCAATTTTGTATCTGTAAAATAGTTATTAGATGGCCGTCTCTGTATGTTTTCCTGTCGTAATCTCGATGTCCCTTGCTTATAGAATCCTTACTCTCTCTCAGTGATTGGACTCCTGGAGCTCAGTCTGGCACCTGGCAGTGGATCTCTGCATCTGCTTTCATCAGTTACTGGATGAGGGCATGGCAGTTAGGGTATTCAGCCATCTGATCACCAGAGTAAGCCAGTTCAGGCACCCTCTCGACTATTGCTAGTAGTCTAAGGTAGGGGTCATCCTTGTAGATTCCTGGGAACTTCCCTAGAACCCTGTTTCTCTCTATTGCCATGATGTCTTCAATTATCATGGTATCTCTTTCCTTGCTCTGCTACTCTGCCTATGTTCCAGTTCAAACCTCCGATTCCCTTGTGTTCTTATCCCCCATCTCTTGCCCTCCATTGCCCCAAACTAGTTGAAAATCATGAACTATGAACCAGTAGCTGTGGAGTCCCCATGGGACTGGACTAGGCCCTCTGGATAGGTGAGACAGTTGTTTAGTTTGAACTGTTTAGGGGGCTCCCAGGCAGGGGAATCAGGATCTGTCCCTGGCATATGAGAGGGCTTTTTGGAGCCCAGTGCCTTGTGAAGCCTTGGCACAGGGGGCGGGGCTTGGACCTGCCTCAACTGAATGTACCAGGCTCTGCTGACTCCCCATAGGACACCTTGCCTTGGAGGAAGTGAGAATGGGGCATGGGTCGGGGGGGG